AACTATTAGAGGGCGAAATTTTGCTAGCAAATTAAATTCATCAGAATATATACAATAGGAAAAGAGAAATCAGGAAACAAGGGCTGGTAGTTAGATCTAAATTCTTTTGAATGTAAAACTTAGTCTAAGCAACTGTAAGAATTATGAAGTCCTTGGTTCTTTTCATTTCACTGAAAATTTATCTCCACTAAATTAAAGAAGAATTATGTTTAATACTTTCAGTAAAAATAACATGTGCTTTATGAACCCAATCTTTGTTCTCTATCTCTCTCTCCTACCTATATGTATATTAATAAAGAGATATCTGATATTATGTTTACCAAATATTAAAAACAGTTGTTTCTGGGCAGTGAGGTTTCAGGCAATTTTTTTATTCTTTGCATGCCCCATTTTACTGTATTTTTAATTTTTAAAAAATGAACACATTTTTATTTTTAAAAGTTATTTTTCTTTCAAAAAATAAAAAGTAAACTGGAAACAATATAAACAAAATAAAGTCTATACACAAGAGTCAGGTAAGAAAGTGTTTTTCCCTTAGCAGCAGCACTAAAGGAGATATTTAAATACAGTCAGCATTCAGTGAACATATAATTTAGCAATCAACAAAATAACTGAGAGTCAGCACGTAAATTATTCATATTTTAATTTTTCAGCTGCTTACTCTTTTCAAATATTTATTTCTCTCTTTCAAGCAAACTCATTCGAGAGTCAAAAATAAGAAATAAAGGAGCTTTTGTATCAAACTGGGTTTAAATTACATATTGAAAATTTAGGTTCAACAGAAGAATCTTCTAATAGTAGACGATAGTCAAAGCTGTCTTAAATGCTTATAGAACTATGTGCTTCATTAAATTTGACTCCTATAAGGCCATTTTTCTGCCTTAAAAATATTTCCCCCTTCCCCTATGCCCACTCCCAACACATAAAGTCTTCTGAAGCAGCCGAAAGCGCCTATCACTTTCGATGCTCTGTTCTCATGCTCGTGACATCCGGCCAGGGGTTCCTACTGCAACATTACCCCTGAAATGTCAAACACATCCTCCGATCCGCACGTTCCCACTGGCTCCAAAGTCCTATAATCTAGCGCCCAGCCCGGCTACCCCTCCAGTCTTTTCACCTCTGTTCTCACCACATTCATTCATTCCTCAGTTTGCTCATGGGACCTGCCATGAGCAGGGAGCCGAGCTCGGCCTTGTGAATGAAAGACCTCCAGAACGAGCTTGCTGCCATCAGCTGGGTCAGAGCCCCATAAGGAGGACAAGTAAGAGGTGTCTATGACACAGCGTGACAGAGGGAAGCCACCGGTCCTGGGGATGGGGTGCCGTCCAGGCTGAGGACATCGGGGAAGGCTCCCCCAAGGGGCGACGGGTGAAATAAGTCTGAACCCTATGACAGCCAAGCGCAGGAAGGTCTACACCAGGCTGACAGTGTGGCATGCTTGGGGAGATGTCTCAGCACTCGTTCCGCCTTACACGTCCCAGAGAGAAATGGAGAGAGCAGAGAGGACACCGTGGTGACAGCCCACGGGCAGGGCAGAGCATGCTCCAGGAGGCGCCAGCAGACTCCAAGCCTCACATGTTCCATCTGAACATCATGGCCAGATCGTCTTTCCAAAAATGTCTCTCATTTTCTCATTCCCTCGGGTGAAATTTGTCAGTATTTCCTCAATTAAGTACAAGCACCTTGGGAATAAATGACAATTGTTTTCTCCTCTTGCAGCAGACTGGTGGACCATGCTCGGCAGTCCAAGCATAATTTGCGAGGATAACGAGGGGGTGGGAGAAAATACTAAGAAGAATGGCCATTTTGGCCCCCCGTGTGCCATAATGTTAAACTGAAAGTCCTGATGTGTGTGTGCATGTCCCTAAATGACTTTGACCACAAAAGCTGCCCTGACTGGAACAAAGGGACTTCTAAAGAACAATCACACAACACTAGTTTTGACTAAATAAGAGAAGTCAACTAGTTTATGAAAGTTTAGAACAGATTTAAAATTTCACTCGCCCAGCCGGGCGTGGCTCAGTGGTTGAGCGTTGACCTAGGATCCAGGTGATCGGGGTTCGATTCCGGGTCAGGGCACATGCCCAGGTTGTGGGCTCCATCCCCAGTCAGGGGTGTGCAGGAGGCAGCCGATTAATGACGGCTCTCTCATCATTGTTGTTTCTATCTCTATCTCTCTCTCTCCCTCTCCCTTCCTCTCTCTGAAATCAATAAAGATATATTTTAAAATTAATTAATTAATTAATTAAAATTTCTCTCAAGAAAGCAGAGGTCTTTATCATTTCTCCATGAAAAGGGGGCTAAATGAAAGAAAACTTATAAGTAAGAAAACTGAAATGTGGACCATTTTTCAAGACATGGCATTGCATTACTCCCAATTATTAAAAAACTATTAAAATAATGTTGATAAAGCCTTGTAGACATTGTAATGAACTGATAAGTATTATATATAATCAAAATACTGATTTAACTAAGAAAATGAAGGTCTTGGAAGTACAGACATGCTTAAAAACACTTTCCTCTTTAGTATTCAAGAACCTCACTGCAATTTTATTTTCTTCCATGAATTCTGGCAAAACCCATGCTTTTGGGGGTGGGGGTATCAGCGGTGTTTCAAGCATGGTGATTGCCCCTGGGGAAAGGAAAAAGGTCAAGTGTGCCCCACCCCTTTGGGAACTCCATCCAGTCGATTTACATAAATTAGCACATATCCTGATTTAATGGAATCAAAGTAACTAAGTTGTAGTTCCCTCTCCATTCATTCAACGTGCTGAAGATGTAATGACAAACCGAGGACAGCCCCAGTCATGAGGAAGATAAGCATGAACCAAACAGAAGTCTGATTGGAGCCTTAATAAAAATGTGTCCAATACACTGGGCCCCAGGCCGATGCACCCCAAGCCTGCCTGTGGATACTCTGAAAGGCAGGCGGCCCAAAGAAAACAAGGCCTGAGCCAAGTGGTGAAGAGGGAGTGGGTTTCTCAGGCAGTCGAGGCTGGAGGGGGGTTCAAGTCCAAGCTCAGAAGCTGAGAGGTGAGACCCCTGCCTTGGCCACAGGGTACAAGAGCCCAGAGCACCTAGAAAAGGCAGTTAGAATTAAATTATAAAGCCCGGGAACATTCTCGGGCTTGCCTTTTGAAAAGGTCACGCTGGCCAGGTTGAGGAGTCGGGCATAAAGGATGAGACCGGTGGTGGGGAGGCTGTTAGGAAGCGTTGAGATAAGTGGGGTGAGAAGGGGTGAGGGCTTCAGCTCCTTCGGGGTGAACCGCTGGGACCTGGCCTTTCAAAAGAGACTGCTTGGTTCAACTCTCTCTCAGTGGGGGCTTGTTGACGTAAAGGGCAAACTTCAAAAGTGACTGAAATTACATCATCTAGCTCTGAATTTTAATTCTTTAATTTCTGGGTGAGATTTCTAGTCAGGCTGGTGAACACCGCAGGGGGTGCTAATCTGTTTGAAGTCAATGACCTCTAAATTGTGATGAAAGCTATGGATGTTTTCACTCAAAAATTGCATATACACAATCTTTAGGTGCCCAAGGTATGCCCAAGAGTGACCGAGATGCAGGCTTTTACACATAGCTAGAAGAGTTGGTAGATACTGTAGGGAATAGTACTTTAAGTGCTTCTAAAGATTCAGGGTTTCACCCAGTAAAGAATCGCTGATCTAGGTATACTTAAAATGGCTAAATTTATATTTGACATAAGGATGTCTACTTTTTTTTTTTTTT